TTCAAAAGGTTGGTATTACATTAATGGATGAGAATTTGGTAAAACAGATTAAAGATCAAAATCGAGCGCATATAAAGAGAATTTATAATGCTTTAATAGAGATGGATTCGGAAATGGAATTAGTTAAAGATTGTATGGTAAAGTGGGCCCAAAATAATCAAGAACCGATTCCACTGGATATATGGGAGGTAATTTGGGTTAGAAATGTAAAATTTACCCAGGCCCAAAATTTAAGAGAAAATTTTTACAAAATTTTTATAGATGGCATCTGGATCCTAAAAAGTTGTCTTGTATGTATCCTAATTTACAGCCCAAATGTTGGAGATGTGGTAGCTTGGATGCTACTTATTTTCATATTTGGTGGACTTGTAGAAATATAAAAGCTTTTTGGATTAAGATTTGGTGGAACATTCAAAAGATTTTTAAGAGAAAGATAAAGTTCACTCCACAATTATTTTTGTTGAGTGTTATTACAGATTGTGATAGAAACTAACTTGATGTTGAATTTGATAACAGCTGCAAGGCTATTAGTAGGGCAATATTGGAAGAAGGATTGCTTGCCTACTAAAGTGTCAAATTTAGCAGAAATGGCTAAGATTTCTGCCTATTTGAAGGATCACTCACAAGAAAGATACATTTCGGTTTGGAGAAGATGGATAGATTATATTCAGAATAAATATGGGACTAAAAAGTTCCATTTAGTTTATGAGTAAATTTTAGAGTATTATCAGTATTAATAGTTTATTATAGTGAAATTTTTATTAGTTTTAATTATATGATATTATTATTACTTTTAGTATTAGTATTGTTTAACAATATGGATATTTTATTGTGTAATAATTAGGATACTAATTTGTTTAAGTTTTAATTATTATTATTATATTTATGTTAAAGGAGAGTTAAAGCACATTATGGACTTTGTTATTTATATAGTTGGTTAATGTTAGTTAGATTATTATTATTATATTTGTAACCCTGTATTCAGCTCTGGGAAGTGGGGGAGGGAGAGGGGGGGTTTAGGGTGGGTGGGTTTTGGGGTTTATATTGTAACTTTTATAAAACTTTTCAATAAAAAAAAAAGAAATGTGTGTTGGTTTTTTTAATTGTGTGTGTGCTCTCACATTTTTTTCACATATTGTTAAGCTTACATAGCCCTCCAAATCAAAGTGCCCCAAGCCAAGATGAAATGCATCACAGAAACTGTTTGCTTATAATCTATCATATAGACCAGTGATGGCGAACCTTTTAGAGACCGAGTGCCCAAACCACAACCCAAAACCCACTTATTTATTGCAAAGTGCCAGGGCCGCATCAGCATTGTGGTTCCCTCAGGGAGGGCGGGGGATGTGGCCCACTGGGTGGGCGTGGCCAGGGTGGTCACAGCAGACTAGGTGGGTGTGGTCAGGTAGGCGTGGCCACCTAGATGCTCTAACACCTCTACTCGAGCTTGCTAGCTGGCCATTTTGCCTGCTTTGTGCTGGGCAGGGCTGCTGCTCCAGGCGGCGGCCTAATGGACCTGTGCGAGCTGCTAGTGGCGGTGTGTGTGCCCACAGAGAGGGCTCTGACTGCCGCCTCTGGCACACGTAGCATAGGTTCACCACCACTGATATAGACTATAAGAAATACATCCTGCTCTCCATTCAGATAGCCAGAGCCATGGAAAATTCCTCAAGATAATGTGGAAATACTGAATAATTATTCAAGAAGGGATGCCTGTGTTGATTCTGGGCCCAGTCTTAGTTAATTTGATTCAATGTACTTGGTTCTTTGACTAAACAGTGAAATATTTACCCCTGAAGATTCTGTTAAATATTGTTTCATGCATGAAGTTTTCACAATCCATTGTGCACTCAGTAAAAGCAATTATAGCAGATTATTAACGTCTGTCTAAAATTTGGTACACTGAAGAGTTAAAAGGAGTTTAAACTCATTTGCACACCTTTCTGAGTTTAAACTATGTAGACCCCCACATAGATAAATATTAAGAAACTAAGGCAAAGGTTGTTGGATATATAGGTTAATATGGTGATTCAGTAGAAATAGTAGCTGGGATGTGCCTAGTGCAATACTTTGAAATTCTGTTTGTTTCATTTCAATTTACAGAAGTCATTGCAACTGCTACTGAAAACTGCTCTGTGAAAGGAAATGGATTGGACCTATTCTAATATTATTACTATTTATTCTTTCAATTATGTTCCTTTTGAAAAAGGGCAGTTCCTGGGATAATAGCTGCCCCAATCTCCCCCCAGGACCCAGGACTATATCCATTTTGGGAAATCTGCACATGATGGATTTGAAGAGGCCTCACAAAACTATGATAGAGGTAAAGCCTGTTGATTAAGAAGGATGAAGTTTATTTGCAACAAGTTTGCGGACACTGAATTAAATCTCATGTGTTCCCTGTTGGTTTTTCATCTCTATGCAAATGTTTTAAAAGGGAGGATTTATCTGGTATTTAAATTCATTTAATTTTATTCCAAGAAAAGCAATTTGTTAGAGGGTTCCATTTTTTCTAATAATTTACTCTAATTGGAAGAGATGGATAAAAAGCCCTTGAACTCTTGGGGAAATATAAATGAGCACATTCTTCAAGTTCTTTCTTTAAGAAATTCACACAATCAGCTTCAAAAACTACTAGGTACAATTAGAAAGTTTTTGTGTGATCCTTTCAACAAGCTGGCAGAGGCCCATATTCTCTTTTATGAAATCCCACTGTATGTCTAGACCTCTTTAAAACTTAACTTAACATCTATCAATTTGTTATGATGATCTTGTGCGCAAGCATCCTTTTACTACATAAGTGTTTTTATTTGCTTTATATAATTATATATGGTACATATAAATCAAAATAACAGCTTCATAATGTGCCATTAAAAAAAAGGAAAATAACACGACCTCAGTCTTGGAACTGTGATGAACTGTGATACATGATTTGTTAAACAAAATTCTTCCTATGTGAGTCTAATTGTTGATCAAAATTGTCTTTTGTTTTTCATCTGCTATATCCCAGTTGTCAAAAAAAATATGGTCCCATTTTTCGTCTTCAAATGGGATTCCAGGAGATGGTGGTGCTGACTGGCTATGAGACGGTGAAAGAGGCTCTAGTGAACCAGGGAGATGCATTTGCAGAGAGAGCCTCTGTCCCCTTTTTTGAGGATGTTGCAAAAGGCTTTGGTGAGTTGTTTCATTTTGGATTGTAGCTGGCATTCCTTGCAGATGTGCAGTCATTTTCGTAGATAGTAATGTAAAAGAACTAGGAAGCTTGTGGAAATCCAAACCAGAGAGTGAGTGACCCAGATAAAATCTTTCTTTAACCACTTTGACTACGTCTAGTCATCACTAGGGGAAGATGGAGAATAAAAAGACAAGACAGTCTTGTAATAACAGCATGAGTCATACACAGACACCAATCCACAACAGGTTTGGTTCTGCTTTTTTTGCACATTTGGGGTGTGGAAGGTCCTGGTGTTTTTTCTGCATTTTTCTGTATGTCCCATCATATATATGGTTTTGTTTATTTCTCTTCCCGAATATTCATTTTGATCCATCTCTCAAGGAGCATTTCTCCATAATATATGTACAATGTGCACAATACAGACATGCATTGCCACAGATCCATTTTAAAAAATACTGTAATAATATTAGCCCCAAGCGATGGAATGGAGAATTCGCAAGGCCTACTCCAAATCTCTAGTGAGTGTTGGAACTGGTTCATCTGTGGATCTCTCTCTCTCTCTCTCTCTCTCTCTCTCTCTCTCTCTCTCTCTCTCTCTCTCTCTCTCTCTCTCTCTCTCTCTCTCTCTCTCTGTGTGTGTGTGTGTTTCTCCCAAAGTTCCGCTCCACTTGGATCATAATCTGTTTTGGTATAAAGATCACTGTTTATTTCTGATGCTGTAACAATGCTGGAAATAACTTCAGGAATTATTCTTCAGGTATTATTTTTTCTCATGGCGAGAACTGGAAAGTGATGCAACGGTTCACAATATCCACATTACGGGATTACGGAATGGGCAGGAGGACCATTGAAGACAAAATCACTGAAGAGTGCAGAGTCTTAATAAAGACAATGGAAACTTATGCAGGTGGGTTGATGTTTCCTCCCAATGCTCTACTGGAGCATCTTTCAGGACAAAAGTAGAATGGAAAATATTTTCATCATGTTATATCAAATGAACAAGCACTGCTTTTGAAATATTTTCCCTGCAACAATTCTTAAATCCATTTCCCCTATAAATATGCTTAGTTGTCTAATGTATGCTATGTAGGATTTTTCTTGAATCAATAATATTTGCAGAAACCTAACACATGTCAAAATCCTTCGGGTAGCATTCATACCAAAACCAATTTCTAATTCTGTATTCTTGAATAATATAGTCTGAGGCACAAGAAATCAGAGCAACTTTAAGAATAGGTCAAAGCAGCTTCTTTATTGTTGAGCACCGCCGATATAATAAGAATCTCACCAGATTGGCTACATTCCCTTGGGAACCAGTGATCTAGATCTAGAATACATAGTTGATATCCTACCAAATTTACCAATAAAAGTATTACTTCTCAATTGTCAATATTGGATTCTCTACTGTATCACTGTTAGTTTAGGAGTCATAAGGCTAAAACTGCAATTGATCCACTTATTCAGCATCACACCTCACTAGCAATTAACATAAAAGAAGAAAGAATTCCATGTTTTCCAAAATATTAGTCCCTAAATAATTTCAATTGATAACACTTGTTATATGCCTCGCAGTATGTGGGCTGTATACCTCTGTGTGATCACTTGTCTGAGATGGTATAGGTTCTCCTGCTTGAGCAAGGGGCTGGACTAGAAAACCTCCAAGGTCCCTTCCAGCTCTATTCTATTCTAAGGATAGCAACAAAGAAATACACAAAGCTCTGGTCATTGGTATTTATGGTTCTCTGGATTTTTACAATCTAGAAATGATCTGAATAAAACTTACCATTCATTGATACAAGGAATAAGAAAAAAGAGATACCCCGTGATACAAAATTAATCTAGAAAATTAAAGATTCTGTCTCTTCTTGGCAAATGAGGTTTCACTTTGAGACCATTCCTACATACTTACAAATTTACCATGCTGTTTGCTTTTTGTTAAGCCAGTTGCAATAAAGAAAGGCATGAACTTTTTTTTTAAAAAAAGCAATATATAGTGTCCACAAACACCGTTCACTTCACTTCCCCATACTATCGTAGCCTTGCAAACCATACTTTCTATTGAGGTTTTTAAGCTGTCTTTTGTTTTTCAATTTTCTCATCTATTTTGAGGATTTCCTTTACTCCATCCAACCACAATATACTGGATCTTCCATTTCCTCTCAACCCATTCACGCTTCTTAATAAATTAATTCTGTAATTTGATTTGCTTTCATTCTCTCTGCCTAAATGTGCTTCTTTTAGTTCCCACTGCATCATCTTATTTTTCTTGTTACTTCTGATATATGAATTTCTATATAACCAAATGGGCAAAAGCATTCTTTTATACCCAGCAAATTTGATATTCCCTGATCAATGTTGAACCTTTTGCTGTACATTCCATTTATTCTCATGCATGTTTTCAATGCATCATGAATTATTCTTACTACATTCAGCACTCAGTTGCCAACTCATAGAAAATAAAGCATAAATCAATTTTATTAATATTAATATCCATAATGTACAATAAATGACCTGCTTATGTCTACTTATGTCTAGTGTAGTGTAGTGTAATGTAGTGTAGTGTGGTGTAGTGTAGTGTAGTCAAGTAGTTGCTATGCTGACACATTCTCATTTGGAGAGAATTTCTCCAAATAAATCAACAAGCCAATTTGTCATATTTCTGAAAATACAATGTAAAATATATAGAGAGGAAGATGCTGAATTGTACCACAGATACTAAGTCTGTGTAGGGTACATCTATGCAAATGTATTTCAATTTCTGATAGGAATATATTTAAATTCAATAATATGTAGTATAAGGTATAGGGCAAGGTTATTTGAAGGGCTGCCTGTATTCTACAGTTTCCACTCCGCCAGTTTGTGCTGGCAGAATTAGTGTACTCCACGTTTCTTCAATGAAGCAGTGCCATTTGTCAGGATGCAAGAAGCACACTTTCTGTGTTGTGGCACCTGCCCTCTGGAACAAGATCTCCCTTGAAATCCATGTGGGTTCTATCTTGTGGGTATTCCATAAGGCCTCAAAGGCTCGTTTGTTCTCTCAGACCTTGAACTAAAGTCAGTGGAGCCTCTTTTTGAATGTGTTTTTATATTGAGCAACCAAATTCCATTTTTTGAATTGCATTTTTATGTTTATTATATGGCGAGTTTCTCAGAGTTGGAGCCAGGATAGATACCTAAATAGCACTGATGATGTTACCTAGTTTGGTAATGAAATGTCTGCAAGAAAACAACCAAACTTAGAGAACACCAAGGACCTCACAGCCACTGACCTATGTTCAGACATAACAATTGCACTTTTGTAGCAATGAGTTACCATTCCAATACTTTTTCCTATTTCTTAAACTAAATATTTCTAATTTCATCAATGCTGACTATAAGCTTTTATGATGAATGCTCCCTTTATGTAATCTGACTTTGAGTCTAAATGCAGCGAAGAGAAACTTTAATCCTAGCACTTTTTCACAGTTCTTTTTTTTTTCCAATTTTTTTTTTATTATTTTCATCATAAAAAACAATCATAATCCAATAAACAGAATAAAAAATAAAATCCCCCACACACACACCCCCCGGACTTCCCAAACCTAGTCCCCGGATAATATTCATATATAAGTAAACAAATACTAATATCTCTAACTCCACAAAATATCTTAGTCTACATGAAAAGATAGAAAGAGTAAACAAAGTAAGAAAATCTAAAAACCTAAGTTATATTCTACCACTCTATGCTTCTTTTGAATATAAACAATCCATCTTCTCCATAT